ATGGCACTGTCCCTTCTTTCTTAGCATATGTCCCAGTCTCATCTGTGTTAACAACACTTTGATACGTGTTTCTTTGACGAGACCCTGAGTCCAAGAGAACAGCCTCAGTGCCACCATACTCTGTTCTGTGTATGGCGGCTGGTGCAGACAGGGACCCAGAAACCAAATAAGCACATCACAGCCTATATACATCTTTCTTACCAAGCTCATGGATTAATTGATTGACTGAATGACACTACTTGGGGATTGAGCTGAAGGAGTACTGTGTTACATCCACAGCCCCTTTTATTTTTAGAGACAGGGTTTTGCCAAGTTGCCCAGGCTGCCCTCAAATTCCCCATTGTCCTGTCTTAGCCACGCGAGTAGCTGAAATTATGGACTTGAGCCATCATGCCTGGGGAAGTTGACTACTTCAGTAAGTTGCTATGTGAATTACCATGTGATTAATGTGACAACAGCATCCAGGGCGAACAGTCTGACAGAGAGCAAGCACCAGGCTGACTTCTACCTCCAACAGAGAATGGAAAAGTGACCTAACTGGGAGGGGTTGAACTCTAGGGTGGACCTCAAAGGAAGGGAGGTGACACAGGGCTTTAAAGCAAAATCCTACAGGTCCATAATCCGACAGGCTCCCAATCAGTGGAGCCCAGATTCAATGCAGTAACCATTTTGCCCTCCGGTACTGTGCTGCTGGTTCTAAATAGCATCCAAAAAAAAAAAAAGCTCCATCTGCTCTTCTGGAGTCCTTACTGCTTGCTGTCTCTAAATAAAGTTCAGAGGTCTGCATGCCCTCACTTTGAGGATTTGTCCATAAAGACAATGCTTTTCTACATTTACCTGGTTAAAACATCAGTTTGTATCCCTAAAATGGGGTCACTGAATAAGACCCTCCTTGGTGGGTTCCATGTAAAGTTACCTGGAGAAGTCTTAGGGTAACTCAGTGAAGGAAAAAGTGTACAGTGTATGGAATAAAGAATGCTGTGAGGGCCAGCCAGATAACTCAGCAGGCCAAAGCACCTGCTTGGGCAGAATGCAGAGGCCAGGGTTCCATCCCCTGTGTGACTTGCTGGCCCCACCTGCGGGGCGTGTGGAGATGGCAATTGAGACTGGGCGTGGTGGTGCACACCTGCAATCCCAGTGCTTGGGAGGCTGAAAACAGGAGGATCACTACAAGTCCGATCTACACAGTGAGACCCTGTAGACCCTGTAGGCCCTGTCCTAGATACATTTAAAAAAAAAAAACCACTGCAATATTATGGAACATGGTATTATTGACTCAAATAAGATTCTCTGAGGACCAGTATTCCCAACTGTACTATGTTATGCTGTGCTAAGAAGACCACAGCTATTTCTATCTAGGTCCTCTGAAGCAGTATAGCAATATCTTAGGGAGAAGATCTCTGAACAAGTTTTTGTCACTATGTTAAGTGAACACAACTTGAAGGTCAAAGCTTTTCCAGAAAGTAGAATTCAGTGGTTGCCTCATAAGTGCACAAAGTCGGACTGTGGCCAGATTCCTGGGCTCTTTCAAGCGCCATGCCTTGACTTCTCACAGGCTGTGTGGTCTAAGGGAAGTTTCCTAGTTTCTCAGAGATCTCCATTCCTCACCTGTGGTAAGACAGGCTGGCATCCCAGGTCCTGAATGTTCTGGACTGGGAGAGAATTATGGATTTCAGATTTTGTAGACTTTGGAATATTTACGTGTGCATGAGATACCCTCAGGAATAGGTCCCCCAGTCTAAGAATGAACCTCGTTTATGTTTCACATGTGCCCTAAGCACATAGCTTAAAAGCAATTTTATATAACACTGCATATTGATGTCCCTTGTCCCCAGAGGTAAGTGGGGGGTTTTCTACTTGATGTTCATGTCAGTGCCCAAAAATTTTGGGTTTTAGAACACTGTGAATTGAAGATTTTGGAGTTAGTGATGCTCAACCTTATTACAAGGCTGTACTAAAGAACTGAGAGATGGTTTTCATGGAAATTGCTAGATCCACTGAGTCACTGCTCTACACATGACTGTCTGCCCCCACGAAAGTTTACATGGTGCTGATATCTGGAAATGGAACGGCAAAGAGGTAATGATGCTTCCAAGGGGTCACGAAGGTGGGGAGCTCATGGTGTGGTTAGCGTCTTTTAAGAGGAGACAAGAGAGAGCTGGTTTATTCTCAGATCTTCTTGTGTGGATGCAGGAAGACAACTGTCTACAACGGGACGTGACCTTCATCAGACACCGGGTCAGTGGGCCCTTGACCCCTGGACTCCCAGCCTCCCTAGGTATAAGAAGTAAGTGGTAGTTGTGTAAGCTATTTTGTAGATGGAACTTTTGTATAGCAGCCCAAACTAGGACAAATTATTAGTTGTACATAGAATAATAACATCAGTTTTATAGATAGTAATAGAGATCAAAATCTGAAACTAATGCTCCATCAAAATAGTCATAATAGCTATGCTGTCTCTCCAGTAGATGGTTGTTCAAAAAGAAGGGGGTGGTGAATGAAAGCAAGAGACAGGAAAAGGAATATTGTGGGACTGTCCTGCTTCAAGATTGTATATGGTTAGTTTTTTTGGACTTATGTGTAAACATAAGAAGTATATAATTCTTTATGCCTATTTTTAAAATATATT